TGTTTTTTTTTAATTATACAAAGCTGTGACGTCACTAAATACATCGTGTATTTAGTGACGTCACAGCTTTGTTTTATTTTACACTTTAGATTTTAGAGACTACTTTCGCTTCATTTTAACAGAATACATTAAATGCGTGTTAATAATGAATGTATGGCAAAATTCGACCAGTAATAAGCTTGGAAATATGTGTTAATAGGTAGACCATCCCGATTTCGGCTCAATTTAACATCACTTTGTAGTTTCTATTTCTGACTAATAGGATCTAAGTGAATTACCTACGTTGACCCTTTTCACTTAGCAGTATATTATTATTACTTGCGTACATGATGTTGAGGCTAAACAGTAGGATCGATATTCTAGTGCGTATTCACTCACTCTCTAAAAGAAATCGCATTCAAAGTATTCTATCTATTTAACTTTTTGAAGTTAAACTTCTTTAGAATTGTTGTGAAACTCGATGAAACAATTATGCGTCACGATAAAGAAACAAATGAGATAGAGTACATTACATATTATTTTTAATATAATATTTAGACAGTGTGAATATTTTTATCTTTTTCTTTAATACTAGCCGGTACCTGCGATTTCGTTCGCGTGGAATTTGAAAAACGCTGCCTTAGTGGGTTCGATTCCCAAAATATGTATATTTTGCCGGCTTATTTGTGCCGAAGCCTGGGTAAAGGAAATACGACCATGTTTCAGAATAGCGTTAGCAATTTAAGAACCTATTCAGTGTTGTCGACATATTCATATATTTTCATTACTTCATTAAGATTTCATAAGTCCACAATTACTGCGAGTTCTTTGACTATATTATCTCTAGGAACAAGCCTTGGCGCTCCTCATCTTCTCTTCTCCTCCAAAGTCCTTTTTATAGCCTTTTACCGTTTCTGCAGTATTTTTGTACCGTGAATTCTCTTCATCAATCAATACTCAATCCCATCTTTACATGTTTTTAGGAGGAGAATCAAGGGTTATTTTCTTTCTTAGCAGTTACTTGTACCAATTTTGATGTAGGACTAATATGCGTATAAGTATATTTGAATTGTGTGATGATTTTTATTTATTTTTGCAGTATACATGGGGCATACTTTACATTTAGTTACTTTGCTTATTGATGAATTTAGTTGTACATTTATATTTCAATTATTTTTACGTACACACCACTTTGTATCGCGTTTATCTTTAATATCCTCTCTTCACTCAAAAGGTTTCGTGTCAGACAACTCACGTCTGGATTAATCTCGCCTTTGTACATACTATTTTCCATAACGTGTAAATCGTGACAGACGTGTGACGTACATTGTAAGTGTTAAAGTTATGAAAATATTCACTTGGATCCAGGACTAACGCAGACATGACTTTACTTAATTGTAAGCCGTCACATACACTGTCGGTACTCACAACACCAATAAACCCAATAAACATATTTTTACAGTGCATAGTGTATTAAAATGTTAAATTTTTTTGTATTATACGCAGTGGGTAAAAAGTAAACCTTTTTTAAAAAGGTAAATAGTTACAGAACCATAAACTTAATGACTTACAAGCACAGCCTGTGAGGTTAACACACCTGTTGATAATCTCGGCGTGGCTTAAAATATTGCAGCCCTTATGTAGTCTGCTGTTATTTTAATAAGCCTCTTAGTTAAGGGCAAGATAGATTAAACTTAGTTAAAATTAGTTTAAAAGTGAATTAATAAAGTTAAAATAAATAATCATAAGAAAGTCAAGGACATAAGTAAATCAAACGCTGTGCCCATTAATTGACTTGTTAGTCTGCTGGTGATCCTGACTGCTACATCGAAGGCCGTGGATTTGATTCTCATCCTGGACATATCATAATAAACTGCATGATAAGCACGAGTATTTGTTCTGTAACTAGTTGGATTTAGCGATAGTATGTAACTGAAATGTACTTGAAAATATATATGACTGTTTATCAGCACACACATCACACCATCACCTTTAATATTCCACGGCTGGACATAGGCCTCTTCTTAGAAAGAAGGTTTTGGCCTACTATACCACGCTGTCCAGACGGGTTGGTTTAGGGTCTGTGTTATGTTCCGCGAGGGGGCAGCGTCCGCGTGTGCCGGACGTCGCCTAAAGAGAGGGTCCATTGAGACGGAGCCCGCGCCAGGAGCGGGCCGGCGCTGGGAGGGGTCCAGAAGGCGATTACTACCTGGACCCCTCCTAATATAGAAGCGCAAATAGGGCACACCGTGTGGTTTTAGTCGGTTCGAGTCCGACACATCGCCCCGCCGAAACAGAAGACCCCGGCGGGGTGACGGTCCGAGGGGATTTCCAAGCGTTAAAAAAAAAAAGGGTCTGTGTTATGTTTCCCTTCTATTAGCAGTGCTGTTGTCCTGCGTATTTTGCTCCCTTGATGAATAGGGTAGGTAACATTTCGTATTCTGATCTGTCATAGTGATAGTTTTCAGTTCCACACGTTTATCAGTGTCTGGTCGTGATTTAGAATCTGATGGCCGTAAGTGAGATGTGTTAACCTATTTTATTATTACTTGTCTATTTAATAATGTGCAACAAATCTTGTTCACTTAGGTAGTATTAATTTCAATAGAATGAGGAGGGAGACAGACGAAGAGATGGGAGGATGACTTCAGGAAAATAGCGGGTCCAACATGGATCCGAACAGCAAAGAATAGGACAGAATGGAGATCTTTAGAGGAGGCCTTTGTCGGAAGACAAGTTGAAGAGTGAATAACGTTTGCCTAATGTAATATACTATAACAGTTAATTCATTAATAATAAATTAATTAAGATAGTAAATAGTTACGAGTACGAATAAGTTAGTTAGGCACATATAGATATATTTTGTAATTTAGACTAAAAACAACAATAAAGGCTTTAAAAAAAAAAAAATTTCAATAGAATATATCTTTATCTACAAGTTATATCTTTATAATAAATTGGAACAATAGCAGAAAGGTATAGCGATAATACTCGTGTTGATTATGATTGAGGTCGATTAAAAAATAATGCAACCAAGAAGTCACCAGTGACACGTTCTTCTCCTTAACAAGTCCTTATTAAAACAGTCATTTTAGCCAAGAAATTGTTTCCATAAACCTGCGGCAAGTAACGTTTTTAAGCCCGAGGGAGATACAAAATTGAGATCGGGCTGTAGTGAAAGTAAAATATATGAAATCCAATGCACAAACTTGTTGTTATCAAATTTATATTTACGTTAATTTTTTTAAATGTTTGTTACTTAAGAAGTAATTTGATTGTAACGCACTTGTGCTTGAAATACTTAATAAGATGGCAGATCGGTTAATAAATTTTCTATTAATTTTCTTAAGTGAATCAATAAAATTTAGGTCATTCGTAAAATATGTCGATCGAAGTTCTTTCGATGATATTAAATTTAAATACAATCAAAGTATTTAACTATATGACGCTATTCATAAACACAATATAGGTATGTATTTTATAATATAAATGTCGTTACCAGTCATGGCAATAAAATATAGCCATACCTGTTTTATGAGAAGTACTCACGCTATTTAAACTCAGTTTGTAAAGGAAATATTTGTGACAAACATTTGTGGCTAAACAAATTATTACATTAAATGCTTTGAATATACTTATCATGATTAGATAGCATTATACACATGTTTTATAGAAATTTGTATATAATTTTAAGCTTGGTCAAACTAATATCAACCATATTATTCAACAAAACACCATATAATTTTCGGAAATCGGGTTTAACTATTTAATGTATTCGTCTCGTATACGTCGCACTCAATTGTTTCGCATCATATGACCCTACTGACCCGATGAACGTCTAATGCTGATTAATATTCTTTCTTTCACAGCAGAAGCTTTTATAAAAATACCATTAACAACTTTTTGAATTATGGCGCTCTGCCAACTGCTGCTTTGGTTCAGCATCATTGTGTTCGTCAAGTCAAAATTTAAAACTTTTATTCAGTTAGCAAGTTACTATGTAGCTACTTTAAAAGTCTACTTTACAGCAGGATTTATTTAGCTCTGCCAGTGGTCACCCGAGTCTAGGTCTAGACAAAAATTGACATTTACGACTTTTAAGCAGTTTGAACAGTTTATCAGTTACTTCGGCCAACCTGGTCGAAACGCCAGGCAGTTCAGAAATATGTAGGTAATACCTATTAATCAGGTTAATTCCTAAATTAGTAATTAAAACCTGTCACATTAATAAATGGGTACATATCCGAAGGATATAGATAAACCTGCTTAGGCCAAAAACGGCATTGCCGAATGCCATGATATTGAGAATCTAGACTATACGTAGACCAAAATCCTTACAATTAATAATAATTATAACCTCATACATCTCACACACGACCGTCTAATCCCAAACTAGGCAGAGCCAGTACTTTGGTAACCAGACCGAACCTAAACTAATTAAAAATATTTTTGGCCTAATCAATATGAATTTGTATATTCAGGACATTGTATTCGTCACTTGCAGCACACTGAAACCTTTTTATAAAGTTTTCCTCACCTTTACGCCTCAACTGTCACACCGATTTCCTAAAGCCTTTATGAATGGAAAGGCAAACGAGTGACAACGTAAAGTTTCAAAAAGTCATTAGAACAAAACTAATTTTGGAGTCTTGAACGCTTGTCGCTTGAACAAACAGTTCTAATGTTTGTTGATAACAAACTTCAGACCTTGATTATTGAGAGAGATAATTTCTAATATTCTGTTGTCAGACTGGCTTGTGTGAAATTGTTTTTTAATCAAAACAAACATTCAGCAGTTTGATGGAAAACAGACACTAAAAACATGCACTGTGGGTCGAATAAATACCACAATTCGATGCTTACGAATCTAAAAGTTATATTTAAATATATTTCAAACGTAAATAGTAGAAAAGTATCTTATTAACATAATAATAAAATGGGTAATGATTGCAACAGAACATAAAAATAAAAATATTTGTACATTTGTCAATTTTATTTTTAACATCAGTCAGATACATTGGTTATTCTAACTTTTGAGACTCATTCGGTCCTCTGGTGGCGATGTGTTCTTTAACTCCGGGTAAGTTTCTGATAATATCGACCACGGCTGCTACCATTGGATACCTTTTTGCCAATTCTATACCAAAGAACAAATCGCTTGCTTCAACCAAACCGCATAGAACGAATTCGACCCATGTTAACTGAAAATTAGGTAAATTTTTAAATTTGGGTAAATTTTACATCTACGTCTCTAAAATTAGGCTTAGAATTCTCTAAATAGCCTATTTTGTAGTGAAAGAAAAATTAACCCTGTGTTTAATTCCAAGTCTCGTCTTTGGGTCATGTAACGTTTTAGATTTTTACAAAGTAATGCCAAACCTGCAAGCGATGCTGATTGCATTACTTGCAGGTACAAAGACGAGACTTGGAATTAAACACAGGGTTAATTTTTCTTTCACTACATAATAGTACAAGCCTTCATTAGTAATGGTAACCGCTTACAACTATCTGAGGCGTAAGCTTTCAATTCATTGAGCTAATAACGGTACAAGAAATATATATCACAATTCACTTCAAGTAGAATCCTAAAGAGGGCATGTGTATAGAAGTATAGTTCAAAGAGCTCCATGAGGATTCCGACAGTCACACGGGAGGGAATTTGCATTGGAAGTTACTGTTTACTATTAAGTGGACTGTAGATTGTCATCGTAAAAGTATTCTGATGGACCAATACCAAAATCTCATATAGGAGGCATGCGCAACGCAAGCAATATAACTGCAGTTAAACTTTTAATATGATTCTCTAATAAAAAGTCACTCAATAAAACACTAGATACTGACTGATACATTAGGTACTACATAGACACACTAGATAGCCAAAAGTAAATTCATTAATTACCTTTCCAATAAAGAATCCTCCATTTTCTTTTAAATGTTGCTCAAACTTCAAGAAGTAATAGTCTATCGTTTCTTCGATGAGTTTTTGTTTCATTGCACGTTTTTTGTTTATATCCTTTTCTAATATATAAGCCACTACCTCTAAAAGTGAAAACACCATTTGAGAACATTATAAGTTATTTTTAATGACTATATAGTAATACGTGAGAAAATCTTGTTATGTAATTTTAGGTGTATTCCGTTATTACTCGTAGGATGGATACTTGGAATAGTATTTACTTGAAATCATCATCATCATCAACAGCCTTTAATAGTCCACTGCTGGACATAAGCCTCTCCTCAGAAAGGAGGTTTTGGCCTACTATACTTACTACTATTTACTTGGAAGTTTATACCTAAGTTATGTTGAAAAAGTGACAAAGATATTGTTTAATCCATCCATGTAGGCTTCAAGATCCAGTTTTTTTTTTTTGATCTGTCATGGTACGGAGTCCATGCAACGATAGTTCAATTTTTACTATCATTAGCTATGAATAGTATAATTTAAGTTAAAACATAATATATTTATATAATATCATAAGCGTTCTGTTCTGTTCTTCAGTTTTTTTCTGTTTCGTTAACGTGGCGGAGCAATCGAAACGCACACTCCATCCCGTGGGTGTCGACGATATAATAAATAAATAAATAAAAATATATTTATTATTGTTGTTGAAATACGACCATTAGACAATCTCTAGATTATATAAACCTCTACCAAAGATGTTCTAAAATTAGATTTCTTGAAAGTATAAATGAGAAACAGTATACTATTTCTTTATGAAAATGTTACCAACTACCTTGGTTCTATTATTGGCAATTTCCTACACTTGCAAAGCGTAACCCTTAGGGTCAAACCTTTCGATGTCTACCTCTAAAAACACAAAGGATATAATCGATCAAATAGGAGGTTTTAACAGATTGCAGACGATTTACTTACTTGACCAATACTCATGAATAGTGTATACAATGTTTTCAATAACAGCTTGTTCCCAGGGATCATCAGGTATTAGAGAAGTGCCTCTTGCTACATACTTCGCGATAGCTAGTGATTGATTGAGGCTTCGGTCCCCTTCTTTATATAGAGCGAAACCGTCATGTGGATGAGCTGCAAGTAAAATTTTCTTACACAACCTTAAGACAGGGGTCTAAATAACCTTGAACCAGTAATCTGAATTTTGCTGCAAATGTATCAAGTGAAACCTGAAAATTCTTTTTTTAAATTTCAAAAAACTTTGTATAAAACTTAGTGTATACCTAGTCTTAGGAACTAAGGTATTTTTATATGTTTGTGAACGTCCATAGCAAACAAGCGTCAAAAAATTCCTCTTTAACATTTCCTACTAATAGCATTGCCACGTTTAATGCCAATGTTTAAACCATTTTATAAGTGATTTTACTTACTTGTCTTAATATTCTCATTGGGATCAATCACGAAATCATGGCTTACATCTTTGAACTTCTGTTTAGTGTAATGCAAAATGTTACGAATTGAATTAGCAAAAGCGTTGAGTTTTGTATGATGAAATTCTTTCTCCATTGTGTACTGAATATCAACCTGAGTAAGTAAAAGCGTCGACTGATTGCATGTTGCGTAAGTTTTTATATTTAATAATTATCTCGCGTATGCAAGTGAGAATGGTTTGTTTACAATTTGTTTATCCCTGATATGCTCTTTTGTTACTACATATTTAAAGGCTATGACCATTTGTCCTACAGAAATATTGTTTGTGTATATCACTGTTGAATAATTCAGATGTTTTTGATAACCTTTTATACATAAAACTTTACGTTTTTCTGTCCTTTCTTTTCATTTGTAAGTCAGTAATTTGAGGCCTTGTGTAAGGGTTAACTAAATATAATCTCTTTGACAGGGTTAATATTTTATTTAAAAAAATCTTTGTGATAATCAAAACCTTTTTTTGATTTTTGAGCAGACCCGCTAATTTTATTTTACATTTTGACTAACGAGGGTTAAATTTAAACAAAAAACAATGTAATATAATATTATTTCAAGAGATGATGTAAAACAGACACATCGTGGTATGTATTTTAGAAGTGATCTTTATAAGGTATTCATATCCGTGGTTTTAAACGAAATTAATACAGTGTGTACGTATTGTAGTGCCCTTAACTTATCTTAGTCTACTTAGAAACGTCAGGCATATCAAAAAGTTAAACACTTAATACCTATCGTGAGCGCTTTAATTCCTGTAAACATAATTATGATAATATATTTGTTTCAAGGTGTTTACATATACATTATACCAATTTAAGGTGTATATTGTTTTCAGTTAGAATTTCAAATATACATTAACTATAGTTTAAGTCATATTAGATATTTTGTTTCGTACGTTAGTTATTGTGTCATATACAAAACTGTAACATGTATACAAAACTTTAATAGTCATGTTTATACTAAGCCTATTATTTCCTTATGGATGATACAATATATTATTATTTTAATGTGTTCAACATTTCTGAAAAACCTGTCATTAAAGTTATGACAAATACATATGTTGTAACTTATTATTTACTTTGATTACATCAAAGTACGTATTATATTATTCATGAACTTGGCCAATTAAAATATTCCTATTTTTTATTCCGTGCAGTTGTGTAGTACGAAAATGCTTACTGTTTTAACATATTGATATCACTTGGAGTCTCATTAAATCATTACACAGTCTGTTTTTCTTCATTTTCATTCAAGTTTTTCTTCTCTTGCTGTTGCTGTTGTCCTGCGTAGTTTGCTCCCCTAGTCGGCTCTTACAACACCCACGGGATTTTAGTAGGGGCCAATCGCAACGTCAAACGCTGTACCCGTGACTAACGAGTTGATGCTAAATAAAGTTGCACTAGGACCTCAGAAGAAACAACGCCTCTCGCATTTACCGTTCGAGAAAGACACAAATTGTGCTCTTTTAATAACTCTAAAGTTTTTTAAGATAAACTTCCCCCAAACATGAATGACACATCGCGAGATCTAAACGTAGCTGTGATAACCCTCAGTTCATGACTAGGATTTGGATTTGAATAAGCTGGTTCGTTGCCTTACTTAGTAGTGGCATTAGCTACAACAACTATGAACTATGAACTAAGTTGATACCGCCAAATCACCTCTTCCAATCCCCCATGACAGTTACTGACGCTTGTACTGATAACTGACTTATTTATTTAGTTTTTAATAAATTACTGTTTTATTTTACTTTTTTCGATAAGACATGGCACAAATATTTCAACTTAAAACTCAATATACTCATATTTTTAATATGTATTAGAAATACTTTGAAATTATTAAACCTGTTTAAAGGGTTAGAAATGTAATGTCACGTAAGATTTCAACATTCATAATTGAGTTTAGATACTTTGCTGAGGACTTAATAAAATATTCCATTACTTATAGAATAAAAAACCTTGCTGAAATTCATAGGTGACTTTAAAGGTCAATGGTGCATCCCACTGATTACATTCGGGACCTATAATATAATTTGAAGTAGATACCTAATTGAAGTATTCAACGCCTTCACAGTATCACTAAAGATTGTTTACAAAATAACAAAATAATAATTGATAAGCTGCTTTTAGGCAACAATATAAATTATATTACGTGTCTTTATCGCAATTTTCAATGACCTCTGGGAAATGTTATGTATAGGTAAATATTTAAATTCACATTGGTCTCTGTGTGTTTTTGTAAATGTAATGTATTTACAAAAAAAAGGTAACGGCGTGTTTGGGTCACGCATAGTGTGAGTTCCGTAGTTAATGGATGTATCGGCGATACAAGTGGTGTTCGATTGACAGGTTTAGTGATAAAAAATTGTATGTGGCTTCTGGCATTCATATCAAATCTATGTATCTCCCAGATTATTATATTTATGATCCACATGATCTGGAAGGTTAAGTCTTGGCAAACATATTTTAAAATAAGGTACCTAGGGGATGATTCATGCGTGGACGGGAGGGGATTTTCCTTACACCCGCCACAGAGACCAACCGCAAGGAAGTGATGTCCGTGTGTGAGATTCTAGGAGATCGAAAGATTTATAAACTACTATTGCCGTAGCGAATTCGCATACTAAAAAAAAACGGTTATTTTCATGGTTCAACATCATTTTGGAATTACTAAAACGACATTTGCGAAAATATACTTTATTTTAAAGAAAATGTGGAATAAGTGTAAAACTATTGCACGTGTTAACTGAAATGTACAGTCATTATACTTAAATCATTTCATTATAAAAAATATTACAGTATATTATATATGCTTTCATTAATATATTTTCAAAAAATAAACTGTTGGAAGAAAGTTGTACTAAACATTTGTACGATTCTGAGGTTAATAACATTACTGTCGATTAATGACAAATATTAAGAAAGACAACACAAAAAGAAAGAAAACAGTGCTTTTAAACCATTACTTTGCGTTGTCTAAAATATCGAGTCCCTTGTATTTTTTGGTACCATAAGGAAGTTTATAAGTTCCTCTTCTCGCGATGTATTCCTTCACTCCAGGCGAGGTTCTAATAGTGTTTAGAGCAGCTTTCACCGTAGGGTACTTCTCCAGCATTTCTATGCCTAAAGATAGTTCGGTCGATTCAACCAACCCGCACAGCACGAATTCCGCCCATGACAGCTGAAAATTCAAAAATTTAAATAGGTCTCAAAATGATCGAAATGAAATGATTTTAATTCAATTACTTAATTTTACTCTAGAAACTTAAGTAATTTACGTTGCTTGCTAAACATTGATTAAATAAATAAAAGTTATCGTTCACAACCGTTTACATATCCTATAGTATTATATTAAACAAAGCAAAGAAACGAAATTATCTATATTTAGAAATATATATGCCCGGCTCACATCAATAGGCTTCACATCAACAGCCTAAAATAGTCCACTGCTGGACATAGACCTCTCCTTAGAAAGGAGGTTTTGGCCTACTATACCACGCTGGCCAGACGGGTTGGTATAGGGTTTGTTTCAACTACTGGTGGTCCCAGGTCTACTGGTGGTCCCAGGAGCTGGCGGACCTCCGTGCGGCCTGTACACGTGCCCGGAGGTCCTACACGCGCAGTCGAGGGCGTCACCGTGGAGACGGTGAGGAGGACCGGCTTCATGAGGAGTACCGACAGGCGCGGAAAACTCTGAAGCTGGCCATTAGCCGCGCCAAAGAAGAAAAGAGAGAGGAGATGCTGGAGGGTCTTAATCGCGACAAAAGCTCCGCGCGTCGGGCCCCCCCCCCCCCCCCCCTTACGGAGACTCTCCAGCCCAGCTTCCTGCGAGAAGTGGTTGAGGGCCTTTTCCCGCAACGAGCGGAAGACACTCCCCCGGCGATGGCCTCCTTGGCCGGAGACGACGGGGAGCACGAGGAGGATGATGTTCCGCCCGTCCGGGATTCGGAGGTAGGGGCGGCTGTTCTACGAATCCGTTCCAAGAACACCGCCCCTGGGCCAGACGGGGTACCGGCCCGAGTGCTGGCCCTAGCCCTCAACCACATAGCAGACCGCCTCGGGGAGGTGTTCGACGCTAGCTTGGCGCCGGGACGTTTCCCTGAGTGCTGGAAGAGCGGGAAGCTGGTCCTATTAAGGAAGCCGGGACGGCCTGCCGATTCGGTCGCGGCCTACAGACCGGCTGGACGAGGCGGGTAAATAGTTTGAGAGGGTTCTCTCTGCCCGCATCGCCCCGATCTGTCGGACGCCCAATTTGGTTTTCGGGCGGGGCGTTCGACAGTCGACGCTGTGTTGCGCCTGAGGGCCGTGACCGAAGAGGCCGTGAGCTGTGGCGGCGTGCTGTTGGCGGTGTCATTGGACATCGCCAACGCATTCAATAGTCTGCCATTCAGCTGCATCAGGGAAGCACTCCACTATCATGGGGTGCCAAAGTATCTGAGGCGGCTAGTGGCAGACTATTTAGAGGAGCGTACCGTCGTGTACGAGGACCGAGAGGATAATTCGAGGTGTCGGCCCATGTCGTGCGGTGTTCCACAGGGGTCTGTTCTTGGACCCCTCTTGTGGAACATAGGGTACGACTGGGCCCTTCGAACCGATTTCCCCCCCGGGCTGGGTGTAATTTGTTACGCAGATGATACTCTGGTGACAGCCCGGGGGGCGAACTTCCAAGAGGCGGCGCGCCTGGCCACAAGGGGAGTCTCCCTGGTGGTCGGGCGCATTGAGGCGCTGGGCTTACGGGTGGCCCTAGATAAGACGGAGGCCCTGTTATTTCATGGGCCCCGTCGTGGTCCACCCCCTGACGCCTCAATCGTGGTCAACTAGGTCCTCGTACCGGTTCGGACCCAGATGAAATATCTGGGCCTGATCCTCGACGGGAGGTGGCTCTTCGACGAGCACTTTCGACAGCTTGCTCAAAAGCTGGTCGGCGCTGCGTCTGCCCTAGGGCGACTTTTGCCCAATTTGGGTGGACCCAGCGTCGCGACAAGACGGCTGTACACGGGGGTTGTCCGGTCAATGGCACTATACGGTGCACCGGTGTGGGCTCTGACCTCCCAGAATAGGGCACGCCTCTGGCGCCCTCAGAGGGTAATGGCGGTCAGAGCCATACGCGGTTACCGCACCGTTTCGACGGAGGTGGCCGTGCGCGTTGGCCGAAACTCCCCCGTGGGATTTGGAGGCGGAAGTGCTCGCCGAAGTTTATCGGCGAGTGGCTGACTCCCGGGCGGAGAGCGGATTCCGCCCTCCGCCCGAAGGACGTGCGCGAGTGGCGCGAAGCCGCTCGCCGAGCCACGATGGCTCGTTGGTCGTTCCGGCTGGAGACTCCACGCGCTGGCTTCGCCGCCGTGGAGGCTCTCCAGCCAGGTCATCGCCGAGTGGGCAGGGCGGCAGCACGGGACCCTTACCTTCCGGCTGACGCAGGTGCTTTCCGGGCACGGTTGCTTCGGAAAGTACCTGCACTCGGTCGCTAGGAGGGAACTGAGTCCCGCCTGCCACCACTGCGACTGCACTGCGACTGGCGGTCTGCCCCGCATGGGCGACACAGCGCCGGGACCTCACTGCAGTCATCGGAGTGGATCTCTCGCTACCGGCCGTAGTACGCTCCATGGCCGGTAGCGACAGTTGTTTTACCGCGGTCGCAACCTTCTGCGAGGAAGCAATCTCGCAGAAGGAGGCGGCGGAGAAGGCCCGGGAGGACGACCCCCACTCGGACCCGGTCCGCCGCCGGCGAACCGGGCGGCGGAGGCGCGCCTATCACCGCCTCATGCCGCCCTGAGTGTGGCCGCGGGTGGACGGGGTGGGTTTCCCCTCCACCCGCATTAGTTTGGCCAGCCGCGAGGGGGCGGCGTCCGTGTGTGCCGGACGTCGCCTAAAGAGAGGAAATAATTTTTGAGACGGAGCCCGCAACAGGAGCGGGCCGGCGCTAGGAGGGGTCCGGATGTCTTAATAACAGCTGTTCCCGGATCCCTCCTATTACAGGCGCAGAGTGGCACACCGTGTGGTTTTAGTCGATCCGAGTCCGACACACCACCCCGCCGCAAACCCCGGTGGGGTGACGGTCCGAGGCGATTTTCCACACGTTAAAAAAAAAAAAAGGGTTTGTTTCAAGTTTTCCTTCTCTTTGCTGTTGCCTTGCGTAGTTTTCTCCCTTAGTCGACTTTTACGACACCCACGGGAAGAATAGGGGTCGTGACATTACGTATTCTTAATCCGTCACCACAAGGATCAATAGGCTTGCGTAAGTGGAATTAAAAATTGTAATTGGTAAAATGTGGGCCTTGAGAACGCCTTCCTCCTGTCATAAGAAGTGGTTGTATGTAAATGAATTTAAAATCACAGCGTATTTTATAATTTGCATTTCTATCAGTCTGCGTTAAAAGCTACATAGTACAGTAATGAATTAGGAAGGGATGGCTATATAATTTTGCCGTGATTGGCAATATATATATATACGCCAAGGAAGCCAGGGAAAAATCCTGTGACTTTTGTGTTTAACTAACTAGCGAATTATTCTGTTGTTCCGGTTCTTTTCTAACATTCTGTATAGTGGAATCATAATAACCGCAACATAAAATATACACAGCATTTTTTGCGCCTCATGTTAAATATAAAAAATATTTTTAAATTAAGTAAAAATTCTTAAAATCTCCTAAAATATATTCAGATCTCATCTCATGATTCTCGCTCTCGTTGTTATCATGTAATACATATTAGTGATGAGCCGCAATCCGATATACGAGTTATAAAAAATACCAAGGTCTGTTACATTTTGGCGGATTTTAAATGAATCTTTTTATATTCTACTTGTACATTTATCGATTCCCATTCAAACTTCCACCCCCCTTTTCACCCCTTAAAAGATGATTTCTGGGATAAACCCTGGCCTAAATTCTGCTATTTTATGTTCACGCCAAGCCAGTGTCATACCACTGACACGCTATTGAAATGCCATCGAGTGGCCATTGGCATCGGTATAAATATCGGTAGTTGAAAATATTATTATAATTAAATATTATAATTATTATTATATATATATTTTTATAATTTATTATAATAAAAATAAATAAATCATTTCCACAAAAAACGTAATATATTTTTAACTACCGGTATTTATACCGATGCCAATGGCCACTCGATGGCATCTCAATAGCGTGTCAGTGGTATGACAGTGGCTTGGCGTAAACATAAAATAGCAGAATTGAGGCCCCTATCCTTTGTCCTTTTCCTGGACTCAAACTATCCCTATACCAAATTTCATCTAAATCGGTCCAGCGGTTTAAGCGTGACAGACAGACAGACACACTTTCTTATTTATAATATTATGGATGTTTAGTCCTGAACGTCCACTGTTGTTTTAAGATTACGCGTATAGGAATTAACTAAGAAAAAAGTTGAGATTCAAATCCGTCAATATAATTTATTAATCCGTGTCCGAATTCGCGGATAAGCATATTTAACAGTCCGGCACATCACTGTGTCAACTGAAGTTTTTATTTTACAAACTTTATTCAGAGCTAAGTACGAAATAAAATTTTACGATTAATTTTGTGGTTAGTACTGCTAACACTGCAATAGGCATCCCTATTGCAGTGTCTGATATTACTGGGAAATAGAGCCAATCTTAAAAGTTTATTTAACAGAGTGGCTCAAGGTAACGTTCATTACACCGGATTACCTGATAAATACAGATAACAACAGAACAAATTTAGACAATGGCAATAATAAATAATGTCCAGTGTGAGTACAATTTACACCTCAAGGGTTTCGTATGGCTTTTTTTATGGAATACGGGGCAAACGAGCAGATGGGTCACCTAATGTCGCACTGTTACAAGGTCAATGACTTGCACTGATATTCTTGTGCGAGGTATATAAGACGGTTAGCACTGAGGCTTTGCCGGTGTTGGCAGGTGTGCTTTCAGTCGATCTCGAGTGCACAGACGATTAGCCATGTACTATTCAAGACAACAAAACATGGAATGCGATTTTTTGGGCGCACGAGATAGCGTAAAATTTTAAAATTGCTTCAACAGCAGTCCCATGTCTATAATGACATAGACGAATGGCAACAATGCTGGGACGCATCATCTAAGGGGCGCCACCTTTACCAGTTATTTTCATCTGTTTGCGAAATGTCGAGGAGGACATGACATGAGGTGGATCACTGTGTCGCTCAATTTCTTACTGGTCATGGTAACTAAGAGCAAGCTGTATTCATTTAAATTAGTCGAGTTACCATTGTGTCAAAACTCAACACCTAACTCTAACTGTGAACAGTCCCTTTAATATCCCCTGGGAATGTAGTCTTTGGTATAATAAATGTATTCACCTTGCAGGTGACTTTTGGGGCGGTATACTATGGGGATCTTGTGATACCTAGGGTGAATTTCCGTGCATTTAGGCGATTCTGCCATACATATTATAGAAATCAAATATAGCTTACTTAGGACCCATAATATTTTGTGGCCGTGGTGCTTCCCTGTTTAAAAGGGTGTATGCCTATTTTACTTCATTTTGTCTCCCGCTTTGCTAAGGATCCCTCCTGGTGTGTGTGTGGATTTACTGTATTTCCTACTCCTCAAATTTTCTTTTGATTGTTTTGGTGCTGGTCCCTAGACAGTTTAATTTTTCCTTGGACTTCCTAAGTGTCATAACTCGGTGAGTTCGTGGGTCACTGCTGTTGATCCTGGTGTATGGAGAAACGGGGGGGCTCCGGTAGCCTCACTCACTCGGTGAAAAGCAACAAAAGACTGCCTTTTTTGCGCATTGGTTTTTTTTCTGTGGATATATAGATTTTTGTTTCTTATACTGCATGTTTTTGAGTTTAAATTCTAGCTAGAAGTGCAACAATATTTCAAATGCACCTTGAGCCTTGAGTTTATTAGCTTTTTTTTTAAAAAAAAAAGGAGTATTGATTCATAATAATTATATGGCTAGTGGCTTGCAGCTTAGAATATCATATCACAACTCTTGGCAAAAGTTTATTTCATGGACGGAACGGCTTTTTCTTTACACCCGCCATAGAGGCCAACCGTGAGGAATAGTAGTCCGTGTTTAAGAGATTTTAGGAGTTCGAAAGTTTTATTAACTATTGTTTCCGGATCCCGCCTGTTTCAGGCGCAGAATGGCACACCGTGTGGTTTTTGTCGACTCAATTCCGCCACAAGGACACACCGCGAACCCGCGAACACGCGGATGATTCGCAAGTACTTGGTAATTTTCATGATACAATCAACGACATTTTGGAATTATTAAAACAAAATTTACGAAAATTTATTTTATTATAAAAAAAATGTGTAACAAGCATATAACTATTGCACGTGTTAATTGATATGTACAGTCATTATAAATCATATGATTATAAAAATATAACAGTATATTTTATGTGCTTTCATTTATATATTAAAAAATAAAATAAACTGTCGGTAGAAAGTTGTACTAAACTTTTGTACGATTCTGTGATTAACATTACTGTTGATTAATGGCATAAGTACTCGTATATTTATAAAGAGAACACAAAAAGTAAGAAAACAGTGCTTTTAAAGCATTACTTTCCGTTGTCTAAAATATCGACTCCCTTGTATTTTTTGGTACCAAAGGGTAGTTTATAAGTTCCTCTTCTCGCGATGTATTCCTTTACTCCAGGTGAGGTTCTAATAGTGTTCAGAGCAGATTTTACCGTAGGGTACTTCTCCAGCATTTCTATGCCTAAAAATAGTTCGGTCGATTCAACCAACCCGCATAGCACGAATTCCGCCCATGACAGCTGAAAATTCAAAACTTGATGATTTTATTTCAAATACTTAATTTTACTCTACAAAGTTAAGTGGTTTACATTACTTGCTAACATAGATAAAATAAATAAAAATTGTCGTTTATAACCGTTTCTATCCATACTAATATTAAAAATGTGAAAATGTGTCTGTCTGTCTGTTATTTCTTCACGCTTAAACCGCTGAACCGATTTAGATTATATTTGATATAGAGATACAGGCTATTTACCACGATAACCGACAAACATGCGGGCGGAGCCTCGGGCAAAAGCTAGTTCAGGGTAAATATGATGTGATGAGCACAATCATTTAAAAGGAATTCCTTATTATATCTTTTAAGATCTCATCTCATGATTCTCGTGTCATTGTTTTCATGTAGGTAATACGTATTAGTGATGAGCCGTAATCCGATATCCGAGGGATAAAAACAGTGGCACTCCGAGTGCCGACAGAAGTGAAAACTTATATACTTTTTTTTTCGATTTCGCAAAGTGCCGACATGAATATATATCTATGTTATACGTAAATCCACAAAATATGTTTTTATTAAATATAGTTATATTTTCAATGTATTTCAACCCAAACTCAACTCTCGTATAAACGGGGCCAATATATGTAGATACTTATACATATACAGGGGTGTCGGTAACGACAACAACGTCGCAAGTTCAATGGTTTTTTCCCATCTCAAAAAGTGTTTTTTTTTGTATGTTGTTCAAAAATTTCCAATGGGCCTAAAGAAGTTTTCACTTAAAAAAAAAAGGTCCGATACATTTTGCCGGCTTTTAAATGTATAATTGTATAAATATTCAACTTGTACATTTATTTGATGAATTATAAAATATTTAATGTTGTAGGTTACTAATATTATGAATAACTGCTCACGCGTAAATCCGACAGTTCAAATCGAAATATTTTATATGTTTAGTCCTGAACGTCCATTGTTGTTTTAAGGTTATAGGAATTAACTAAGAAAAAGTTGAGACTCAAATTCGCGAATCTAGATTAAAAAAATCGTATCCGTATCGTGGATAAGCATATATAACGATCAAGCCCATCACTAGTAGGTACTTGCTTTTCTGTTTACCTTCAAATTACGTAACGTGAATAAGATAATCGAAACATAATACTTTACCTTAACAAAAAAAAACAGCTAATTTAGCTTAAAATCAACTATTGATTGTCATCCGAAGTGTTTTTTACAAACTTTAGTTAGAACTAAGTACGAAATAAAATATTACGATTAATTTTGTTAGTACTTCCAGCACTGCAATAAGGATACCGATATCAAGTCGGCTTTTTTGGCAAATAGAGCAAATATTTAAAGTTTATTTAACAGCGCGGCTCAAGGTAACATCCATTACGCCGGATTACAGTGATGCCGCTGTCATTTTAGCGGAACGTCACATGGTGTGGCGAGACGGCCATCTTGTACTACAGATCTCAAACAAACAATGGTCGTCGATGCATCACACTCATGATGAATCGCTATTTTCGACGCAATCATTGAAGCTTACACACAATATAATAATAATAATAATTTTCAGACATATACAGTCCATAGGTTGTTTAGTAAGGGGTTAGAAACAGAAAGTACTTAACGTCTATATTAGTATTGTTAGTAACGACACTTAATAGTAGAAAGGCATTCGACTATGCTTTCCTATTGCTATTGCCACCCAGTGCCTTTGTATAGGACAGTCTGGCCTACTAGCAATCATCTTCCCGCTCCCGCTCTATGTCGCTGTCATCGCGAAGGTCACTGGTGACAATGTGGCCTAAATACCTGAACTTCTCAACAACTTTTAGTACTACGCCATTGAGATATACCGAAGATACACGGCGTGACTGTTGTTTTTATAATAATATAAAGTTTAATAATATAAATTAAATTAAGTACTTGAAATGTTGGCAGATGATGCTTTTTAAGTTGTAATCACCCACTAAGAAAGGATCTTTGGAAATTTCACCCCTAAGGGAGTAAAATAAGGGATAAAACTGTAGTATGGAATTTCGTCATTTTCAAGGTTAGAAACACAAGAGAAGGATTAATCTCACGAGCGAAGCCGCGGCAATTGCTAATTAAGTATTTGTTTCACGTGCACTTGATTGATCGTGATTTAGTATAGGAGAATGTATTATTTCCTGATTACGTAATTATTTATGACTACCCACGTATTTGACGAATCGTTGTTTTATCGATGCGGTGTATATAGGTGCTTAGTAACGTTTATTTTTTATTATACACTATCTCAATGATAACGAACGCTGCTTGTATTCGTTATCTAAATGGTCAAGAGCTGATAAACTTATAAAAGTTGAAGAAACAAATAAATACGATGACTAGGGTTGCCACCCGTAATTTAATATATAGCATCATAATATATTTCAATCAATTGTACTATATATTATAGAAAATATTTTAACATATGAAAAATGCTGTTAAATGTGTAACCTGAATATACTGTACCACCATCGATATCAATATAGAACAAAAAAGTTATAAATTAGCAAATAACTGCTTTAGGCATTGCTTACTTCTTTTTGCCCTATATTAGAACATGACGTACAAATCTATATTATTAATTTATAATATTCTATTCCGTCCGTGTGGTGACGGATTAAGAATACAGAGTGTCACCACCCCTATTCATCCCGTGGGTGTCGTATGAGCCGACTAAGGAAAAATTACGCAGAACAACAACACTGCAGAGACAAGGAAAACTTGACACAAACCCTTTCTTTTTTTTTTTTTAACGTGTGGAAATCCCCTCGGACCGTCACCCCACCGGGGTTTGCGGCGGGGTGGTGTGTCGGACTCAGACCGACTAAAACCACACGGTGTGCCACTCTGCGCCTGTAATAGGAGGGATCCGGGAACAGCTGTTATTAAGACATCCGGACCCTCCTAGCGCCGGCCCGCTCCTGGTGCGGGCTCCGTCTCAAAAATTTTTTTTTTTTTGTTTTTTTTTTTTCCTCTCTTTAGGCGACGTCCGGCACACGCGGACGCCGCCCCCTCGCGGCTGGCCAAACTAATGCGGGTGGAGGGGAAACCCACCCCGTCCACCCGCGGCCACACTCAGGGCGGCATGAGGCGGTGATAGGCGCGCCTCCGCCGCCCGGTTCGCCGGCGGCGGATCGGGTCCGAGTGGAGGTCGTCCTCCCGGGCCTTCTCCGAAGCCTCCTTCTGCGAGATTACTTCCTCGCAGAAGGTTGCGACCGCGGTAAAACAACTGTCGCTACCGGCCATGAAGCGTACTACGGCCGGTAGCGAGAGATCCACTCCGATGACTGCAGTGAGGGCCCGGCGCTGCGTCGCCCATGCGGGGCAGACCGCCAGCGTGTGCTGCAGTCGCAGTGGTGGCAGGCGGGACTCAGTTCCCTCCTAGCGACCGAGTGCAGGTACTTTACGAAGCAACCGTGCCCGGAAAGCACCTGCGTCAGCCGGAAGGTAAGGGTCCCGTGCTGCCACCCTACCCACTCGGCGATGACCGGCTGGAGAGCCTCCACGGCGGCGAAGCCAGCGCGTGGAGTCTCCAGCCGGAACGATCAACGAGCCATCGTGGCTCGGCGAGCGGCTTCGCGCCACTCGCGCACGTCTTCGAGCGGAGGGCGAGATCCGCTCTCCGCCCGGGAGTCAGCCACTCGCCGATAAACTTCGGCGAGCACTTCCGCCTCCAAATCCCACGGAGGAGTTCCGGCCAACGCGCACGCCGCCTCGGTTGACACCGTGCGGTATCCACGTATGGCTCTGACCGCCAATATCCTCTGGGGGCGCCAGAGGCGCGCCCTATTCGGGGCGGTCAGAGCCGCCACCCACACCGGTGCACCATAAAGCGCCATGGACCGGACAACCCCCGCGTACAGCCGCCTTGTGGGGCACACTGGCCCCGCCCAAATTGGGCAAAAGTCGCCCTAGGGCGGAGGCAGTGTCCACCAGCTTCGGACCAAGCTGTCGGAAGTGCTCGTCGAAGAGCCACCTACCGTCTAGGACCAGACCCAGGTACCTCATCTGGGCCCGGACCGGTACGAGGACCGAGCCGACCACGATTGAGGCGCCAGGGGGTGGACCACGACGGGGCCCATGAAATAACAGGGCCTCCGTCTTATCTAGGGCCACCCGTAAGCCCAGCGCCTCAATGCGCCCGACCAAACTTGACACAAACCCTATGCCAACCCGTCTGGCCAGTGTGGTACGGTAAGGCTAAAACCTCCTTTCTAAGGAGAGGCCTATGTCCAGCAGTGGACTATTAAAGGCTGTTGATGTGATGTGATGAATATTCTACTGATCTAAATAAAAACATTTATTTATATGTGGTTAACAATAATCTTGACAATAAATACTTGACTAATTCTACACATATGTATTTCTAACATCAAAATAAGTAAGTCGCCTTATACCCTTGCATTTCCCATAAATACTTACTATATTTTTGCATCTTTTTTCGAAATAATACAATTATTTTTTAAAAAATAAAAGCAGTGGTGACCCTAATGATGACTATGTCATGTTTATTTTTGATTTTACTTTATATCTAATGATAAAAAATGCTATATTTGTTATGTAAACGGTCATGTGCAGATAACCTGATAAACGCAGCAGATAAACCCCCACTGAACAAATTTATTCAAATAAAGTCAAGTGTGAGTACAATTTACAACTCATAGGTTTCGTATGTTATTTTTTTATGGTATAGGGGGGCAAACTAGCAGATGATTAACCTAATGTGAGTTACTACCGTCGCCCATGTACACTTGCAGTTAAGAGTCACTCGTTAAAAAGCAACAAAAACATTTCCTTATTTGTGCACGGTTTTTTTTTGTCCGTGTGGCCTTTTAAGTTTAAATTCTAGAAGAAAGGAAATGCAAAAATATTTGCTCAAATTCGTTTATTAGCCTTTAAAAAAAAAACAAGTACTGAATCATAATAATTATATGGTTTTGCTCGTGGCTATACCTTAATAATTCAACCCCGTGACAGTGGTTGGTCAAGCAACACATATGTTAATAAATAAATTTGATGGTGAATTAATTAAGTTTTTTTAAATTTAAATTTAGTAATAAGGAAGATTTTAAACTGGTAATTAAGAACTTTTCTTATGTTTATACTGACCTTTCCAATGAAGAATCCTCCATTTTCTTTCATAATTTTTTCAAATCTTGAAAAATAAAAATCTATAGTGTTTTCAAGTACATTAACTTTAATTTGATATTTCTTTTCCAGATCTGGTTCCATAATGTAAGGTTTGACATCTATAAAAGAATAAAACGAAAGTAATATTTTAAAGTTCTAATTAATTATAAACAAAATTATACATATATTCCACAACTATAATTTTATTGCATAATTAATTATACTATTTATGCAACAAAAACCAAATCAGGTCAACTCAACAAATAGAATATACAGAAAAAAATATAACTTACTACTTACTACTTTTTTGTATATTTCAATAATTAAATAAATAGAATTACATATAATATTGTATATAAATGACAAAAATACTGGGAAAAAACATACACACAAAATAAAACCTAGTCAAATTTTAGATTTTTATTGCTCCAAACTTCAAAAATAAGGACATTTTTGAAGTTGGGTAATAATAAAACTTTATACTTACTTGACCAATAATCGTAAACTGTGAACGCCAAGTTTTCAGCCACAGCCTGTTCCCAGGGATCATCAGGAATTAGACTAGTGCCCCTCGCTACATACTTGGCAATAGTCAGTGATTGGTTGAGAGAACGATCTCCTTCCTTATACAGAGGGAATACTCCAAATGCAAGAGCTGTATGAAGAAATGGTGATACAGATTACTTAACACATATCACAAGGCCATCTGATCCTAAACTAGGCAGGGCCTACATGTACTATATGTCACCATTCCTGTTCATCCCAATGGTGTCATAAGAGTCAACTAAGGGAGCAAACTATGCAGGACAACAGCCATGGAAAAAGAAGAAAAACTTGTAACAAACCCTATACCAACCCGTCTGGGCAGAGTGGTATAGTAGGCCAAAACATCATTTCTAAGGAGAAGCCCATGTCCAGCAGTGGACTGTTATAGGCTCTCGATGATGATGATGACATACATTTTATAAGTAAAGTACATCCAGATATGGAACAAATGCATGTCTACATTATACAAGTATTTGTCCTGGGTGGGCTTTTATCAGAATTTGTATATAAAATTTCAGAATTTGTATGTAAAATAATCACAAGCCACTTAATGAATTTATCTCTTATTTTATATAGGTATTGTACTATCAAACCCAAAACGAGAAATTATAAATGCAGGATATTACACTATTACATGCAGTAAAAATTAAGTACAAACATTAAGTATGTAAAAAAACTAAAATTATACTTTAGTAACATGCAAAATTAAAAGAAAAATACAGTTCCACTGTGTAGGTAGAGGTTTAATGATCAGATCAGATTTAAGATGCTAAATTTTAGTATTTCTTCGCATTTCTTTACAACTTCGCATTTAGATGTACAACAATAAGAGGTGGATTTAAAATTGACTTTCAAGGTTTTTAATAACAAGTGAAACTAATAAAAGCTTGTCAAAAAAAACAATTGACTTACTTGCTTTAACGTTAGCGTCGGGCCACTTTGCCAAATCGTATCTGACATCTTTAAATTGTTGATTGGTGTAATGCAAGAGGTATCTTATAGACTCTCCAAGACCATTTAAATCAAAGTAATGAAATTCTTTCGCCATTGTGGACTGATCACCGCTGACTGACTGACTGAATGCCGAATCGAATGGTACGTCTGGTAACTATCCGCGTGTTATGTTATTACTATTGATAGCACTGTTCAGTGTTGCCAGGTTGGATTGAAAAAAATACAGTGTTCCGCATGTAAAATTACAGTAGATCGGTAGGAAAATACAGTAAATCATAAAAATCATTACAGTGTTTTTACAGTGAAAAAAAACATACTTTTATTTTAATTATCAATGTATTTAATAATCACTATTATAAATTATATATAATTTGTCAATCAATGTCTGTATCACTGTCACTTAAGGGTTCATTTTTATATATTTTGTCCGTAAAAGTCTTCATCATTTTTTCATTTGGGTTATAGTCAATACAATTAGCAGAGTTTCTTAAAATGGACTGGCGCGCTAATATGTTTCCCTTGATGGTATTTGTGATTAATCTATTTCTCTTTCTTGTTTTAATGTCATTAATTTCGCTGAATTTTCTTTCACATTCCGCGTTAGAATTGGGCAGAGATAGAATTTCGAGCATAAAATTTGCTAACTTTGAAAAATCTTCTTTTAGTAGTATCTAAAAAATAAAATATATAAACCATACGCTAGAATTTATATCTGGGTAATAAATAAATAAGCATATAGTCACACTCTCACAAAAAGATAAATTTTAATTGAACCATATAAACGAGTATTAACACGATTATGTTACTCTACTTTGGCGACGTTTCTTTAATACCCGTTTATATCGTTCATTCAGACTAATACGCGGTATTTTTAAAGTTTAAATATTCTAAATTATTATTAATATAAATAATACCTGGTTCCAAAACACATCAGGTGCTTGACTACTATCAACTTTATTTATCAGGCTGGGTAATTTTCTCCATTGGTCATCGATTTGTTGCTGTTCATTTAAACATTTTGGTACCAGTCGTGGCAATAGCTCAAATATACGTTGGAGAGATTCTGGGCGTTTGCTAGTATCGACGCAATTATCGGGGTCCAATAGTGAAACCGCAGCCATTACTGGATCATTCAAGCTGTAACGTTTTCTTATACCTACACAAGCTTTTATTATAAATTTTCGGCATCGTTCTTTTAAGTCTATAACAAGTTCTGGTAGCATGTCACTTGATGAAATTTGTCTTTGAACACCTAATCCAAAATAAGCATCTTCTAAATTTTTGAAATGTTTTTCATTAGTAGGATCTATTTCATCAAGATTGCTTGTAATATGCTCCGGTTTTACATGAGTAGTTAATAATTCACGGTATAGGTCGTTCATTTTGACGTGTATTTTGGTGATCATTGGAGACTCACTTTGAAATAGAGTATTGGCAGATGTAAATTTAGGCAACATCCAGCTTAAGAAGTAAAAATAAGCCTTTATTTGCGGGTTATTTAAAGAAATATGAATGTTCTTACATTCTTGATCTTCGAGCCATTTACCATTGAAGTAAAGTAGCAAAACGTCCCATTGTTCAAGAATACGATCAGTGACTGCAGCTAAAGACAACCATCGAGTTTGAGAAGGTTTTAATATCTTGTGTATGTCTGTATTAGCAAATGACTGAAATTCTTTAAATTCTGATTGACGTTTACTGCTTGCTGAAAAATAATTATATATTTCACGTGCTAGTATTTCACACTCAATCGGTAATTGTTTACAAGCATCACTGGCGCAAAGATGTAGCGAGTGACAAACACATTTCAAAACTATGATGCCTGGACAAGCCGCCCTAAATCGACTGGATACTGAGTTATTGCAACCCATCATAGTGTTGCACCCATCTGATCCAAATCCTATAATATTCTCAAGGCTAATTGAATGATCTTGAAATGATTTGAGAACAGCATCAAAAAGACGTTCTGCTGACGAACTATGATCAGTGTTGTCATTTCCATAAATTTGGATTAGGTCCCAAAATCTACTGACAATTCGACCTTTAGCTGGACAAAAGTATCTGACAACAACGCACATCGTCTTAATTGCTGCTATATCAGTACTTTCGTCAATCATTACAGAGAATTTTTGACGTTTTAAATCTGTGCATAGATCTTGTTGTTCAGTCGTACCTAAAACATTATTTATTACGGCGCGGAGCTTTGTACGTTTCATTTTTATTTTCTGTGCGATCTCAGAATCCGGGAATGCCTTCGGTAGTAACTCAACCAGATGATCCATCACCCTGTGAGATATTTTGTGCTCAGTCATAAATGCTGCTAATTTTATTTCCGCAATTTTACGCTTATCGTCCAAGGACGGTGATGGTTTTTTAAATGCGGTGGCAATAGAAGTCAGAGATGAAGAGGGCTTAGCTTTAAGAACATGTTTGTTACCTTCACTATGACGTTTTAAAGCTCCCATGTCAGCAATCATCGATGTATCACAAAATATACAGTAAGCGCGATATGGGTCTTTCATATCACGTCGCAACCACTTTTTGAAGTTTTCATGGTGTAACCATTCATTACGAAACTTCTGCTTATAACTTCTCTTTTTTTTCGGCGTGGAGGGTCCTTCGTCGTCGCTTTCACGAGCCGACATTTTTAATGACAATTTTAAAAGTAATACTAATTATAATACAATTAATGCGAACAATGTAGCCAATATTTCAAAATGAACACTTCATTGTAAGGTTATAAACATACCTACTGTTATCCGTAACATTACAAGGGAAGCTTACAGTAAACAAAGAATATGCTACATATAAACATCTCAATTTTGTCAAATAATAGTTATCCATAATCTATTCCCCGTTCTGTGGGAATTCCCCGGCCCAAGAGGTAATGCTTACTTGAAGTAGAACACAGTGCGGTTCGTTTCACGCAATGAATGGTGAATCTACTTTTTTTTTGGTGGTTAAAATTAAAAGTAACTACGTTTTTCGCTGTTCACTGTATACTGTATAGCTGGAATACAGTGTACAGCAAAAGCAGTAAAATTACAGTAAATCTACTGTAATTACAGTGCACCTGGCATCACTGGCACTGTTGCTAATCGCTCAATTTAGGGTTCTCTAATACTTGGGTTAATAAAGACTCTACAAGGACAGAAATACAGAAATAAACATTTGTCTGTCATTATTCTGTCAAAAAGGTACTATTCGGGAGTTTCGAGAAGTTTTGACAGACTAATAACATTCCCGCCGAGTTCGTTTTTGGATTTTAAAGGATTTTTTTTAATATGATGAATAATGATAATAAAAAAATCCAAAAGTACAAAATTATAAGCTTATCATCAATAGTATTTTCACTGTGTTTAAATACTTTATTTTTTATGATTAATCTGAATCTGAAGTGTGTATCTTAATGATAATGCTTAATGATTAATGATTAATGCTTAATGATTTAGTATCTACTGGATATTTATTATTATTATTTTTAATGTTATTCATTACTAACACGGTTTGTTGCGGTTGCTAATCAACGAATGGAATAAAAATAATAAGTCCAGAGGGAGAAGCTGGTAGTGAGGTGCCTCTGCATGGAGATGAGAACAGTATTCCATATACGGCCGGACTTGTGCCCTCTAGAGCTGAAAGCGGTGGGCTGGAGTGAAATACTGTCTCGATCTGCCGAGCTTCTTGAGGCCTTAATAAATTTGACCTTACCTTCTAAGTGACCCCGAAACTGGACTTCACTCGATTTGACGATGCCTAGGATTACGGAATCTTAGGCATCGTCAAATCGAGTGAAGTCCAGTACTGGCTGAGGCAGTTAGGGAGGTGCTCTTAAAGGGAGCTTTGAGAGAAGCGCCTAATGCCACACCCGATTGAAGGCCTTCGCTATGTCTAAACTAACCGTCAAGCCTCTCCGGTGTGTTAGACAGACGAGAAGATCACCAGCTGAGCGACCAAGGTGAAAACCATATTGTCGGTCATTGAGTAGCTGGTGATCTTCTAAGTACCGGAGGATCTGGCAGTTGATTATAGATTCCATAATCTTAGAGAACAAAGGCGTTATGGCTAGGAATCAAAGCGGTGAATTTTTTTAGGGGTCGGGTGCACAAACGCTACCTTCCCGGAGTTTGGGACGATGCCTTGGGAGTGGGAGAGTCGAAAGACGTCTTAAACACGATAGGAGAGACGGATTTCTGATATATAGCTCTGGCACCGAGTTGGAATGGGATGCAAAGAGTTTGCCTAGAAGAGCTTTCTCCTTGGCATCATAGGCCGTAGGCGATAGATGCCAAGGAGAAAAGCTGATCTCCATCATAGGCCATAGGCCATAGAATTATCTCTCATCTGCAGGGGTGGAAGAAATTGGCTACAGAAATGCCCCTGGACAGCCTTGACAAGAGACCAGAATCCACGAGTTTCAGAAGGAAGTCTCACCAATCTCTCACTGATTCGGCTGATGTGCTCCGATTTCGCCCTAGCAATGGCTCTTTTAACAGAGTTGGAGGCAAAGTTGTATTGTTTGTTTTATATTGCGCTCACCATCGAGAGCGAGTCGATGTGAAATAATAATAATAATTTACTAATACAGAAAAAGATGTACAGTGCTACATACATACTTATCATCACAGCAACATTATTAAAACCAAAGCGGTCGAGCTCTGGTAACCATTGTAAGATTTAACTTGAGTCCTTTTATTTTATTTTATTTATTTATTCAAGTTAAATTATACAGAATATAGTAATAAAAAGAGCGATATTTTTTTTAGCCATAACAATTACCTATAAAATATACGGCTGATACCTAAAAAGTTAAAACCTAAACTCTCACTTGGGCCTTAGAATCACTAACCCCTAACCCAACAAGCCACTACAGAAGAGGGGCCACGATTCAGTCTTTCTTAAATCTAATTGAACTAAAATTCGTTTGATGGCCAAATTTTCGACATTTTTTTTCCTATTACTATTATGTACTAGTTCAACTTGTCTGGAACTTCATAATTATACTAAGGTACATATATTTTATAGACTTTTCTACCATGACAGATTAATACAGTATATAGGTACCTACTGAACCTCTATAACTATAAGTATCAGTTTATTCACAAATATTACGTTTGTGTGCAAGTCTGACTTGCACTTATTTTTCCTGTTTCGAATGATTTAATAATTTATTGTTAAGGTATAGGTACAAACCTATAGTACGTACCTAATACGTTGAATATGGTTATTATCAATCGAGAAAACTGTGAAAATTAACACTTTTTAGCTGTCAACACTTCAGTATCTTTCTCATAACCATGAAAAAGTTATACGAATTTCACGTTACTAGACATTATATGTAATTGCATTAAATTGGTAGGTACTAATTTTGTACATTCAAGGACTTTGTTGTTTAATTTTTAATAAGTTGGATAAAAAAAATTTCGTCAGTAAGACGCTAGGTAGGTACGTATAAAATTAAAGGTAAGTATTCAAATATATCGGTGTCTGTTCGTGAGTGGTGTTACGCTTGTGCATTTTTTTTATCTTATCTATCTAAGGCTTAAATCCCCCCGGATATCATCCACAGGTGGGGTGATTATGTCGGACTTAAACCGACCAAAAACTGGAGCCTGGGAACCAGGTGTACCCTAGAAAGGAAATCCCTGTTACCCCGACATACCTCGGGTCATCCACGGCGTGTAGATGACCCCCTCCTGTGTGGGAACCCCGTGTTCCCTTTGTGCTCCCAAAAGGGCGCGCGCAGTCGACAGCACGTCTCGCCGCCACTCCGGGGGTAAATGGGTATCGGGGCACCAGGGACTTCCTTTCTAGGGTATACCTGGTTCCCCGGCTATTAGTACCCGAGACGGCTTGCGGTTTTAGTCGGTTCGAGTCCGACATGCCACCGATAGCTGGTATCCGAGGGGATTTCCGCACGGAAAAAAAAAATCCGGGGGTAAATAGGTAAGAAATAAAAATGATTAGCTAAGCTAATAAGGATCTCTAGGATCACAAGTGGCTTTTTTTAAATGATACATTAAATTTAGTACTATACATTTATACAAAAAAAAAAGTGTACACCACTTAACATTTTATATGAAAAATATATCATGACAAGTAATCTTTTAATTACTTTTGTAGGTACTGTAAACATATAAGTGTTTCAGACGTAAACCACTTCAGAACACTAAAACCCAACCAAACCTGGTATAAAACTCGAGTAATAATCTCGTAAAACAGTATACTCAGAAACGGCAGTGCAATAAGCATTTCAATAAATAAACGAGTTGAACATACTCGTAAAGCGTCCGATGAAGCGGTATCTTAGAAGAGATTCTCTCTCCATCTTTCTCTCTCCGGGCGATAATAAACTGTTTCCTTAGGCGTTACCAACTACTGCTTCGTAAATTACTAAGGTTTTCTGTGTTGTCGCCACAGCCCTGATGCGGGGTGTTACTCACAACGAGTTCAGCATTGTACAAAAATGTTTGTTATTACTAATCGGTAAATATCTAACGTCAAGGTGAACATAACGACTTAGTAGAGATCACAAAGTTACTAACGACAGACGGTTCTTGAACGTCAATTAAATAACCTATGGCCAACGGTGGAAATCTTACATCCGAATTTATGATTCTGATAATAAATCAAATAGCGTAGAAAATAATACTTATAATAAATTCACACATCGTGAGATGTCGCATTCGTCTGGTGTCAAACTAGACAGAGTCTGTATTATGATAACCAGACTGCTGATAATATAATATTTATATATTTCTAAATACACACAAATGTGAAGTACTGACAGTGCGCCAAATTTTCATTCTGCAAATAATTTTAAAGCAACACATGTAAGAATAAAATTGAAAGATCACCATTAAATCCACTTACTCAGGCGCTTACAAATCGTAAGCATAAGATCCCATTAACCTACACTTGCACAACATCTTTCGGGCATAAGTTCTATTTCTTCTTGGGACGTTACTTATACAATAAGATAAACAACCTTCTTGTTTTTCATAATCAAACCAAATGTGAAACCAAAAAGATACTTACGAGTTATCTCCTGACCCACTCACACACACATACATGCACACACACACACACACACACACACATACACACAAATTAACACATACATTATAAATACGTTATTAATTAAATTATGTATATCTGCATAAAAAAACTCAGTGTTACTGGAAGGTAACTGGTACCTATATCTCAGGTGTTACCTTTTTAGGTATCAGCCGCATATTCTATATGTAATTGTTATAGCTAAAAAAATAGCGCGCTTTTATTACTATATTCTTTACAATTATATTCTGTATAATTATAAATATATAGGTATATAGATAAGTTACACCCAAATACAAATATCGTATAATAACAAATGATCGTGTTCATTACAAAATATTATTTTTCCGGGGCTGACTTCGTCATGGTCAGGGTCACTAACCACTACTATTACACACGACATACAGGACCTATACAATGATTTGTACTTTTATTAACTTACCCAATAATTACAACTGTGCCAAATATAAACATTAACAGTAGGTATATTTTTCATCATCGTCATCAAAAAGGCTATCATTTAAAAAATAAACAAATTTACCTGAACCAAAAACAACAAACTTATTATTTTAAAAACCATTTATTTTTA